AAGGAATTGGGGCTTGTAGAGGCCACTGTTGGGTGTAGTTTCCAGGAGCTACAGGGGATCCACCCACCATGCCACACAGAAGCCTCAAGAATACCAAAAACAAACAAACAACCTATTTCCAAGAAATAGGCCTGATTTTTTCCCAAGCATGCTTGAAGGCATGCTTGAAGGGATTGGGGCTTGTAGAGCATTGTAGAGGCCACTGTTGGGTGTAGTTTCCAGGAGCTACAGGGATTCTTCCACCCATGCAGGGCAGAGAGCCCCAAGAATCCCAAGGACAAAAAACAACCTATTGTCAAGAAATAGGCCCGATTACCAGTTTGGATGTGCAGGAAGCCATGGCAGGCATTCAGCCCCCCCCAACAAATGCAGACGAGGTGAATGAAATTATTGAAATTAAACGAGGCGAGGTGAATAATTTCAAAACATGAAATTAAGACGAGGTACGAGGTGAACGAAATTAATGAAACTAATTTAATTCACTCAGAAACTTGTCCCAAAGCCACCCGGCTTGCTTCTCTGCTCCCTCCATCACCATTACATACGCCCCCCCGCACCCGCGGCACCGCTGACTCGCAAGCTGCCGGCCATGTGTCTTGTGCCGCGACGCCCGCCAGAAAAAAGACACTCGCCTCGCGGCTGCTGGCTTTCGTCTCCCCCTTCTCAGGTCTATATATATATATAGGAGCTTGATTTCAGAGCGAATGGGGTATGAACTTGGTTGACTGCTTAGAGGCAACTTTAAAATCGTGTTCCATTATGCCTGTGGAGCAAGTTATGCCAGTGAAAATGGCTTCACTTTTCTGGGTGCAGGGAAGCATGAAGGTCGGGAGCCTTTTTCCAGGAGCAAAGTTGATTTTTGTTGGCAATTGAAGGAGGCGGTGGTGGAAAGAAACAGTTGGTGTGAATCACAACATGCTTTTGCCCACAGTGCTCAAGACAACAACGCAAAATGAAGAGTTCACCGAGGAAACTGTTAGCATTCCTGAGGAGTTGGTGCCACCATTTGAGAATGCTGCTCACTCCAAATGCACGTATAATTACATATAGCATGGATTCTACTTGTGATTCTGTAATGATTTGACATGACAGCATTGTTTTTCGTACGCGCGCATGTCTGACGACTATGTGCAAGATCCTTAGATCCTTGCATCAATCAGTGGGACAGTTCCTGGATCCCTTCCTTTCTGAGGCCCGGATGCTTTTTGAAGCCCGGACCCTGGGATGTGTGGAATAGTTTAGAGCTCTTGAGCTCTGGAACTGAAGGCTACTCCGGAGAAGTCATATCGAGGGTGACGAGAACCAGGAAGCTGCGTTTGAAGCGCCAACAGTGCCAGCGCCTGTGGCGTTCGCTCCGACTGAAGTGCCCCCACCACCTCAAGCACCCACAGCGCGTGCGGTGCCCCCTGCTCCTCCAGCACCCACAGCGCCTGCAGCGCCCCCTGCTCCTCCAGCACCCACAGCGCCTGATGCATGCCCACCGCAACAATCCTCGACACCGGCTGGAGTGCCTCATGAGGTTGTTCTCCGTAGGGGTGCCCAAGCTCGGGCCAGCACAGTAAAATGTTATGTTATTATGTACGTTGTATGTACATATCAGAAAGCAACGAAACATTTCAGGTTTCAGAATTGAATTCATCAGCCAGTCCAGTAGTTTCCCAGCGCTGAGGCAAAGCACCGAATGACAAGGCAAGGGGCTTTTCTCTTGAAATACCGGAAATATTAAAACGATTTTTGCATCTTCGGCCACGGGGTACACGCAATTGTGCGCAGTCTATCCATTGGAGTGCGTCTGGCCGCTTTACCCACAACAACAAGAAGTTCCAGGACAGTCAGCGGAATTGGCGCGCTCTGTTTGAAAGGACCCCCCTGCATGGACGTCACGAAAGAAGAATGAGCCAACCCGAATTATAGGCTTTTGTCCTGAAAACAAAGAGCTTGTGTTTTACAGGTTTTCTTCCGACCGGTGCAAAATTTGGTGGAACCCTATATGGCCTTTTCTACTTTCACTGATGTCGGTTAACCAGGTGCAACAATTCTTGGGGTTCACGTATTTTGCGGCTAAAGTCTTTGTTCATCTTTGCATGGGTGGTCGACCGGTTCAAAAATCAATGACAATCTGCCTGGCTAACAAGCTGGGAGTATTGCGGGCACATGTCCTGAAAACCACAAAGTGTCCAAAATCATCCAAAATCTAGGAACCTTAGCTTCTTTTTGATGCAAAGCCTTCGACAGGGGGCCTTCCTGGTGGGGGTGCGCTTTACAGGTAGAATTGGAGGCAGAGTCTCACAAAGGATTTTCACCAAAGACATTAGGGAAGTCCAAGTATGAAGAAGCAAGCGCAAAATATTAATACAGGATACAGAAAGTCCAATGATGCCAAAAAGGAAACAAGATGGAGCCCACGAACTTGATTGTACACACGGGCGCAAACACCTTTGGCCAAACGTCCTTGACACTCTTCAAAAACACTCTTGAAGGGCATTCTAGATATTCACTCTTTTAGAACACTCTTGCGGGAGGACACTCTTGTCGCACACTCTTGTGGGACACCCTTGCTTGCGGGCGGGACTCTCTTGCAGGACACTCTTGTTACGCACTCTTGTAGGGCACCCTTTTGGGGACTCTTGGCGGACGTTCTTTTGGGACATTCTTGCAGGCCACTCTTGTGGGACACTCTTGTGGTAGGGCAGGCACTCTAGGACTCTAGGGCTCTAGGGCATTTGGTAGGAGGCTTCCTCGAAAAGTCACGCATCAAGTCTCCAAAGCGAGCATTCTGTGACTCGTCAAGCCTTCAACATGAGCATTTTGTACGAGACGTCCTCCAAAAGTCACGTGGGAAGTCTCATCTGAGTGAAGACCTGCCAAGCAGTTTCATAATCCAAGCCCCTCGAAAGTCACCTGCACAACACGTGGCAGCCTGATGATTCCTTGTGCCTCACCCGCAAACTGACTTCCAGACCTCCTGCAGCTGCCACTATGCCACACTTGGACATGCAAAATTTGCATCGCACCGCACCGGAATGACTTCGACACATTGCTTCAGCCTCGAGACCTGTCACGGCTTCGAGGCAAGCGCTTCCAATCCTGGACGTGAAGTGCTGACCTCACGAAATGCACGAATCTGAAGCAAATGGCGCTTTTCTTGCGAATCTGAAGCGAAAACACGCTTCACATTTGCTTCGCGTTTGCTTCGCATTTGCTTCGCATGTGATTTTTGCTTCGCATTTGCTTCGCATTTGCTTTTTGCTTCGCATTTGCTTCGCATTTGCTTTTTGCTTCGCAGTTGCTTCGCATTTGCTTCGCATTTGCTTCGCATTTGCTTCGCATTTGCTTATTGCTTCGCATTTGCTTCGCATTTGCTTCGCATTTGCTTCGCATTGCATAGTGTGCCCCGCTCGAACTCGAACTCGATCTTGAACTGAAACAGTTATACTTATTGATGAACTTAACTTAACCCTGAAAGGATATATGGAAGGAACCGAACTCGAACTCGAACTCGATCTCGAACTGAGACAGTTATACTTATTGATGAACTCAACCCTGAAAGGATATATGGAAGGAACCGAACTCGAACTCGATCTCGAACTGAAACAGTTATACTTATTGATGAACTCAACCCTGAAAGGATATATATATATATGTAAAAGCAGTGTCAGTGCAGACCGATAGCAAGCAGGATTCGAACCGAAGGCACCTCGATTCTCAGGCGTAGCAAAATAGTCGAGCGGCCGACGGGCGGTAGGGTTAGGGAACCCTAGTTGGGTCAAGGGACCCGTGTTTTGAAATTGGTAGCGGAGCCCTCCCCGTAGGTGGTAGGGGGGAGGGTTCCAGGGTTTGGTAGAGTAGGTGTACAGCCTTAGGTCTGGTTGGAGCACCAAAGCAGTGTCAGTAGATCCATGGCGTCGTCGGATGTCGGTTCCCTGGGAAGTCAGAAGAGGTTCAGCGGTGAGAACCTCGACCCGACGGAATACAGACGATGGAGGCTTTGGGTGGAGGCCAAGATGTGGCCCTAGAGGCAGTTGAGCATGTGACATTGGAACAATTGTCTGAGACAAATGGCGACAGTCATATTTGGACAGCCCTGGATGCAAGATTTCCTGACAAGTTGACTCATGATTGGCTTGCTGAATGTTTGAAAGAGGTCTTCGAATTGTCAGCTACAGATGGTGAAAGCCTGGCCAATTGGACGTCACGGGTGCAGGAAGCATTCTCGAAGTGCAAGCGGAAGGTGTCAGTGGACTTTCCGTCCGAAGCACGAGGCTGGATATGTCTCAATGCAAGCGGCCTCTCTCCTGACCAACGGGCGATCGTGACCGCTTTGATGTTGTGGTGGCATCCATGCGCAGCTGTTTTCCAGAGTTCCTTGCATCTCGAAAGCATGCAAAGAGTTCGTCGGCCTTCATTGTGCAACAGGAGATGGAGGAAGACCAGAATGTTGACGTGCCCTATACAGGTGAGACAGACGGCCCGGATTCCGTTCAGTTTGAGGAGGTCGAGGCTTTCTTGGCCGAGTATGGGTTTCACGGAAAACCAAAACGCTGGAGAGAGCTTCGATGAGGAGGAGATTGCGGAAGTGCTGGCCGCCACCTGGAAGGAACGGAGGACCGAGATTTTCAAACTGCAGAAGTCTCGCAAGTTTGGACAGGCCAGTGCTGTGAAGAGGCAGTTCAACAAAGAAGTCAGCGACCTACAAAAACGCTCTCGCTGTCGACGATGTGGCCAAATCGGCCATTGGGCCAGAAACTGCACACAGAAAGGATCATCGAGCTCGACCCGCAGTGACAAGGACAAGGTCAATGGAGCAGCAATGGTTGAAGATGTGCTGTTGGTGTCATCCCCAGGATTCGGTATTCTGGACTCAGGTTGCAGCAGGACGTTGATTGGACAAGACACGTTGAATTCGTTCATGCGGCTGTATCAAGAACGGAACATGAGTTGCCCTCCGACAAAGGAACAACACAACCTTTTCCGTTTCGGAAACGGCAATGAAGAATGGTCAGAGCGTGTCGTGTAGCAGCCCGGTGAACATTCATGGCAAGGCCGGACGGATTGAAGCAGCGATCATCAAGGGCAGTGCACCGCTTTTGTCAAGTCGCAATACATTGCGAAGTTTACAAGCAGTGTTGGACTGTTCACAAAGCACGCTGTCGATTGCAGGTTCTACACCAAGGCCGTTACAGACAAACAGCGCCGGCCAATACGTGTTGAACGTGTTGGATCAAGATGAAGTTTTGCTGTGTGAACAACCTTCACCCTCAGACAGTTCAGATCAGGCTGACGAGACGGAGGATGAAGAGACAGAGACAGACACCGCCGAGCTGTCTGTTGGCCCAGAAAGAGAATACACCCGCAGAGAACATCGCTGTCTGTTGGCCCACCATGAGGCTTGGCAGAAGGGACGCAGCCAATGTGTCGTTGCTGAGCTGTTCTCTCCACCTCGCTTCTGTGAGGTGTTGCAAGAGCGAAAAGAAGCAGGCTTTGCCTTTGATATTCAGCAGGGTTGGGACTTGACGAACCCGGAGACGCAGAAGAAAGTGAGCCGACTGCTGGATGAGAAGAGACCTGAATTACTGGTATGTTGTCCTGAGTGCAAGCATTGGGGCGGCTGGTACAGGTACCAGCAAAAGGAGTATGCTGAACACATTCACCGATCAGAACCTCAAAAGATAGAGTAAAGAAACACTGGCTCACCGCAAATGTCCAAGAGACTGCCGCTCTGAGAGCAGTCAACGGTGCGTTGAGCTGGCTAAGCACTCAGTCGAGGCCTGATTTAGCAGTTCAGACATGGTGGGGGTCAGCAGTGTTTTCGATGTCTTCCTATGCTTTCGATGCACCTTTCGTTCAGCAGAAGTAAAGATTGAATATATAAATGGGAATGTAAAAGCAGTGTCAGTGCAGACCGATAGCAAGCAGGATTCGAACCGAAGGCACCTCGATGCTCAGGCGTAGCAAAATAGTCGAGCGGCCGACGGGCGGCAGGGTTAGGGAACCCTAGTGGGGTCAAGGGGCCCGTGTTTTGACATATATATATATATATGGAAGGAACCGAACTCGATCTCGAACTCGAACTGGAACAGTTAGAAGTCAACCCGGTGGACGAATATAGAAAGAGTCGAACTCCAAAATCGCTGTCGTCGATTCGAATGCGAATTCACACTCGAACTCGAACTGGTCCCCCCCCCCACCGGTGTGAAAATTGTCGTCAATTCGAACTCGAACTCGAACTGGTTTCCCCCCCTCCGGGTGTCAAAATTGTCGTCGATTGGAATTCGAACTCGAACTCGAACTGGTTCCCCTGTCGTCGATTCGAATTCGAATTCGAGCTAATGCTGCGTTGTAATGGCTCCTTCCTATTCTAAATTTCACCCTCGAATTGCCCACAACAGGAATGCTACGTTGCAATATAATGGCCCCTTCCTGCTCTAAATTTTATCCTCGGGTGGCCCACAAAAGGCATGCTACATTGCAATGGCTTCTTCCTTTTCTAACTTTTACTTTGGAATGGCCCATCAAAGGAATGCTACTTTGTAAATCGTTGTAGTGGCTCCTTCCTACTCTAAAATTTGCCATCGGGTGGCTCACAAAAAGAAATGTTTTGTTGTAATGTTTCCTTCCTGCTCTAAATTCTACCCTCGGGTGGCCCACAAAAGGCATGCTACGTTGCAATGGCTTCTTCCTTTTCTAAATTTTACAGTTGAATTGCCCACGACAGGAATGCTACGTTGCAATGGCTTTTTCCTACTCTAAACTGTATCTTCGTGTGGCCCACCAAAGGCATGCCACGTTGCAATAGGCTTCTTCCTATTCTAAATTTTACCCTCGCA